AGTAGAGTAGGGTAGGGTAGGGTAGGGTAGGGTAGGGTAGGGTAGGGTAGGGTAGAATAGAATAGAATAGAATAGAATAGAATTAGAATAGAATAGAATAGAATAGAATAGAATAGAATAGAATAGAATTTTTTATTGGCCAAGTGTGTGGACACACAAGGAATTTGTCTTGGTGCATACGCTCTCCGTGTACATAAAAGAAAAGATACATTTGTCAAGAATCATAAGGTACAACACTTAATGGTAGACATGGGGTACAAATAAGCAATCAGGAAACAATATCAATATAAATCGTAAGGATAGAAGCAACAAAATCACATACTGTTTGGTATAATTATTTTTTTTTTTTTTGCACAATGCCAAAGTAAACCCTTCATTACCTGTTGGTTATGCTGCACACATATGAAAACATGGAACCGTTGCTGGAGCACATTCAGTACACTAGGTACATTTGGAACATCTGTGGAAATCTAAAAGTAATGGCTCTTATGCTTGGAGTTCATCTTGGGGATACCAAGCATTATTGTTACACTGCAGATAGGACAACTATGGAAGAGAATTGCACTACATTTTTTTTTTAAAAAAAGGGTCAGTCTGAACGTTGCACATCCATCACTTGTTGACCCAATTTTGCGTCCGCTTCACATAAAACCAGGACTGATGAAAAATGGTGTAAAAGTGATGAACAAGATAGCTGAAGGTTTTGTTATCTGAGACAGATGTTTCCAAGAATAACGGATGCCAAGATTAAAGAAGGCATTTTTGTTGGTCCACAGATCAAATATGTCATGAGTGACAAGCGGTTCAAAGTATCTGTTAATGGGGCCAGAGAAAATTGCCTGGAAAGCATTCAAGGATGACATTGAAAATTTTCTTGGCAACTACAGAGCACCAAACCACATTTAGTTGGTTGACAAACTTCTTACAACATACATGAAGTGCAACATGTCACTGAAGATTTATTTTCCGCAGTCACACTTGGACTTCTTTCTCAAAAATCTTGGTGCGATCAGTGACGGACATGGTGAAAGTTTTCACCAGGACATTACAACAATGGAAAAATGGTATAAGGGCAACTGAAATCCATCGATGCTGGCTGGCTATTGTTGGACATTGCAGCAAGACAATGAAAAGTACAAATGAAAATCAGCAGCCACTTTTGGCCGTCTTGAACTCATGCAGTTTGTTAGAAATATTATATGATTAAATACATTATAAGCATTAAAAGTTAATTTTATATTTATCAAGATTTCCTACATTCAAGATTCCTACATTCTGAAAGTATCTTTGTGTTCAGTTTGAAGGGCTCTTCCATACTTACTGAAAGGTTTTCAGGAAGCAAAACCTTTGACAAAAAATATTATCTAATGTAAGGAGTTGAATCTTTCTTCAATATGGATAATGGAGCTGTATGTTCTATCATGAGAGAGCCAATTGGGTGCAGTGGGTAAGGCACCAGGCCAGAAACTGGGAGATCATGAGTTGGACCCAATGCCAGCTGGTTGACCTTGAGCCAGTCATTGTCTCTCAATCCTAGGAAGGAAATAATGGAAAACCAGTTCCAAAAATTTCACCAAGAAAACTTGCAGACTAGGACTATCATTTTGTACCCTTGCAGTATTAGTGAGTTGGCATAAGCCAGGGGTAGGCAACCTTAAATACTCACAGAACCACAAAGGTCTTAACTGGAAGCCCCCTGTTCAATTCTGGAGCTGACTAGAAGTCTGGTTCCTCCACCATAGAATCTCCTCCTAGCGCGGCATCCTTTTTCTTCTACCTGTCCTAATCGAAAGCCCTATCAATTGTGAAGCTGACCAGCGACAGGGAGCCACAGCAGAGGGATGAATGAGCCACATGCGGCTCCAGAGCCACGGGTTGCTGACTCCTGGCATAAGCCTATCCCAGAACATTCCAGGGGTCTCCTTCCACAATGCTCATGTCGTATTCATCTTTGCATACTCTTCTCCATTATTGCCCCCATCACTTTACAGTTGGGATCCTAAGTAATGGAAGGAGTGTCTTCAAGTAGAGTTTTGCCATTGACCTGGATGATGGACGTACTTAGGCTAGTCTCTAAATACTTAGTCTTCTTTATATTGAGGTACAAACTGAATTGGGTAACACAGTCATTCCATGTCTGGAAACAGCTCTACAGTTGTTCCATGATGGTAGCTGTCAGAAGGACCAGTAGATTCATGTGTCTACATCCTACTGGCTTTGTGTCTGAAATGGGGCTTTGTCTACTCCCCCTATCCCACCTCTCAAAGCACAAATATAGCAGCAGAGGTTTTCTTGGGCAGGAAACCAGATCAGTGGTTGATGCCATGATTAACAGTCAGAAGTCATCTCTTTGGTTCTGTCAACTCACAAAGCATCCCTGGCCTGCTCTTGAGTTGCCATAGGCAAGGGGGATGGGAAACCAACGAAGCAACATGGCAGCCACAGACAGGAGCACATCCTAGACATATCTTTCTCAAGGCTGTCTCCCAGGGTTACCGACAGCGGCTGGAGGGGAGTAGTCTCTACAATCCATGAAATTGTTGTACTTGATGTTTTTATACTTGGCTGTTCACCGCCCTGAGTCCTCAGGGAGAAGGGCTGTATACAAATTCAAAATAAAATAAAATAAAATAAAAAATAAATTGCTCCGTTGGCCAATGTGATTGATGAGACATCCTGGGGGAAACAGGGTCATGATTAGGGCAGTAAGCGTAGGGTCAGAGTTGGCTTCATTTGGATACGTGCCAACATGGAGCTCCTAATAAACAACTCCGTTTCCTTTGAAGCTTGGCTCGAGGCTCATGATTTAATTAGAGCAACCTTCGGAATCCTGACAGGTTCAAACTGACCCAAACAATATATGGAAGTGAATGGATGAACCCATCACCAATTATCTCTTCTGTTGTCTATGGAGATTCTCAGTCAACCAGGTCATGGTTGTCCCAAAGGTGCTATTTTTCAAGAGGCAACTGGACTTTCTGGTTTTTCTTTGATTTCTCTGTTTTCACTGAAGAAGCGTCTTGGATGAGAAGCGACACGTTTTCAAAGAAAAACCAGAAAGTCCAGTTGCCTCTTGCAAAAAAGCACCTTTGGAACTATCTCTTCTTTATTGCTTCACTACCTTAACCCATGAGAATAACAGATCTATAAATATCCATTCATTTCACAATTAAAGTTATTCAATCAACCTTTAGGAGAGATGTCTGTAAAGATCCAAGATTGAATTGAACCTCAGGAGGTGAGGGTTCTGCCTTCCTGTGGCACCCATAAACTAGATTTCATCTCCATATATTCAACACCTAAAGGTCAGAGACAGGGATGGCCTTCAAAAATTTTAGCAAGGGGTTCTCTGCCCGGTTGCTGGGTGGGCGTGGCCATGGTGGGTGTGGCCTAGTCAGCCTCCTGCACCATGGCAGGGGGGCGTTTTTGCCCTCCAGAGGCTTTCCTCGAGCCTCTGGGAGGGCGAAAATAATAATCATAATCATAAGTTTATTTATCAAGCATATATAAGATAACAAGTAAAAGTATAAACATAATTTGAATACATGAAAAGAGTAAGTAAAAAGGAATATTAGGACAGGGACAGTAGGCATGCTGGTGCACTTATGCACGCCCCTTACAGACCTCTTAGGAATGGGGTGAGGTCAACAGTTTAAATGGCCTCCCCAGGCTCCAGAGGCCCTCTGGAGGCCGAAAATGGGCCCATTTCTGGCCTTCCCAAACTTCCGGTAGGCCCGTTTTTTGCCCTCCCTGAGTGTCTGTGCACGCCCTGCACTTACCTGCATCAAAACGGGCCATGTGAGGATTCCTAGGAGGGGCAGGGCGGGTGGGTGGGGTCAGCCAGTAGTGGGATTTGGGGATTCTCTGAACTGCACAGAATCTTAGCTAGAGGTTCTCCCAAACCTCTGCGAACCCCCAGCATCCCACCCCTGGCCACAGGGTGTGCTCTGAAGAAATGAGATTTGTTTACATCAGGGAGATAAGGATAACAAGAAAGCCTATCAGGAGTCTCAGTTTGAAAGAAAACCATTAATGTCTCCGTGGATAGAAACCTGGCTTGAAGGGTTTAGTGACCTTAGTGACAAGGGCAGCAAGGGCAAAGAAAGTCATATTTAAGAGTAAGATGCCGTCTCCAGTGGGTGGGTCATTTGAATTTCATCTGCAGGGTAATTTCCACGCCATTTAGCCTTATCCATAGCAGAAGTAAAGGGGACTAAATAGATTATTAAACTGACAAAGTCATACAAGGGGTAGGGAGGGATTCAGCCATGTGGGCAAGAGGCATGATAAGATTCAATGATACGCTAGGATAGTTTAGTGACAAATTAGGAATTTTAAGTATTTACAAAACGATATGGTATCGGTGGAGAAAAGGCCAGTAATATATACATCCAGGATTTATGGTGTGTTGAAGATTTATCTTATAAACAGAACACAGAATTAAAAACAAAACCACATGGAGTGGATTGAAACTGTTCTCAGTAATGGTTGACAGTACAACTCTGCTCCTACAGCTCATTTTGTTTGACATTTAAGGCATCAGAGATTCCTTAATGGTCAACAGTAGAGGCAGGAATGAGGAAAATCCCTTAATTGATGCGGTTAATTGACTAATTGAGTAAATACAGTTTAAATATATGGATTTTTAATTGGATTTTCAGCAAAGCACTGCTTTATGGATGGTGAGCCATGTTGGTGACAAGAAAACCATACACTTCTTTTGAAATAAGTGATGCATTGCAGCAGTGTTTCTCAACCTTAGCAATTGTAAGATGCATGGACTTCAACTCGCAGAATTCCCCAGCCAGCACAGCTGTGAGATGCATGGACTTCAACTCCCAGAATTCCCCAGCCAGCACAGTTGGCTGGGGAATTCTGGGAGTTGAAGTCCATGCATCTTACAATTGCTAAGGTTGAGAAATACTGCATTAGAGGTAATTTTTGCAGCAATTTATGTTCTTATTGTTTAAAGCAAGTGAAATTACCTTCATTCAAGTTCCTTAAAGTTCACCTATGCTTCAATTCTTTTATTAATCTCTTACATGCATGACACATAATTTATTAAAAACTCAAAAAACCATTACACATCTTGGAAATTCAGTATTTAAATTGATAGTTTTTATAGTACATTTATACTTTAATTTTGTATAATTACAAAATGTAGCATGGGTAAATAGAAACATTAAATTTTAATTTTGTTATAACATTTAAGATTCCGGATTATATATGCTGGAAGAATAAAGTAAAATTCTGCATATAAGTTTCAAACACATACTGAATTTGGCAGACGAAATAAACTGCATTTCCTCACTTTGAATCTTCCTCCTAATTCAAGAGTAGGCAAATGTCACTCCCATTCTACAGCTTCCAGAATTCCCCAAGATCATGCAGTTAAAATGTGGAAATAAATCTCTGATTTTTTTTCAGTAGCACGATGTTTCCCCATTTCAAAAATAAGGGTAAAAATCCATAAACCACAAAAATGCTCTCAAAAAAAAAAGGGCAAAAAGTAAAAGCAAAAGGAGGTACATTCATGTTTTATACGCTTAATGCCTATTTGGCCATTTTCACTCTCCTAGACCCCAAAATATAGAAAAGGCAAGTCACATTTCCTGCAACTACTTCTTTCAGTGATATGAATATATTACTACTGCTCTCTCTGAAGCAGGGGTGAGTTCCCACTTACCTTTACTACTGGTTCGCAATGGGAGCGCATGTGCGCACGCTTCTGCACATGTGCAGATCACCCATGATGATGTCATGGCAGGTGGGCGGAGCCTCCTGACGGTTTTCTACCGGTTCTATAGAACCGGACCGAACCAGGAGCAAGCCATCACTGCTCTGAAGCCAAGTTAAATTAATTTAAAACAACCCCTCCATCCCCCAAAAAGGACCCCAAATTCTTGGCTGTAAAATATCTTTGCCACCCTGGTCCTAATATCTTGATGGTTTTGCATAGTACTACTTCAGAAGGCTACAGAGAGAATATATAAAAGGCCTAAATATAAAAAGAGCATGGGTCTTTTCACCCCAATGACATGGGAACAGAACCATTCAGATACAAGTTGTAGACGAGCAAAACAGTGGCTTCAGAAATGATCAGAAGGCAGACCAGAATCTCTTAGCATATTACTAGGACGGCAAGTCATTCCTCCAAAGCTTCAGGTACAACCTTCAGAGCTTTCCCCAAAATGCTACGATATTTAATTCAACAGAAGGCAGAACATGTTATAGCTGAATAACTGCAGTTTTCCTAATAAAAAGAAAGCAAAGTCAATAGGGCAAGCCTGACGTCAATTTGCCCTTAGCTGATATCATGTCACTATCAAGAGCTATCAAAATATAATTCACTTTACCAGTTCTCCAAAAATTCTTTTACACAATTAGAATGATCATAACATCGCGCACAACATTCTTTTCCCTAATCTTGCCATTTTTCATATTTGTGGACTTCAGAATTCCACAGCCAGCATTGGCCACAGATGAGAACTCAGTTGAGCTGATATCTACAAGTCTGAAAGTTGCCAAGATTGGGAAATACTGAGGGGCATCCTTCTGTCATTAGCCAAGATATCTGGGTTTTGTGTTTGTTTTTTTTTTTTTTTTTTTGGCCAGCGCTGAAATCCAAGCATGGGAAAAGTATTCCCTATCTAATTTCTGTCTGTTGTGCAAAAATTAGAGGCACAGAACATCTACCAAAGAAGAGCTGGGAACTCTAAATGAGATTTCCTTTATTTGGGTAGCAAGAAGTAAGAAGTAACAGGGGAGACATATTGGATGGCAGCTTTTATGTACGGTACAATAAGTAGCCACTAAATGTAGTTACGGGTGGGTATTTTGCTGGGATGGAGCCCTTTGCCAGTCTGAGCCAGACTTCTTGTCCGTAGTTCAGTTCCAATATAGCATCTCCGGTCACTACTCTAGTCACGTATTTGTCTCCGCTTCCATTTTCAGATCGGAAAGTTAGCTTGTCTGTTCCGTCAACCACAAGGTAGCCTGAGATGGATGGGCTGCTGGACTCAATGTTATACTCAAAGACATATACTCCCAAATATGGTACGCGGAACCTTCCATTTGCAGGGACATATGAGGTCCCATAGTTGACATCCAGATTGTTAAATCGAATAGGACCAGGTGTGTTCATCCCATAGGTGTGCGAAGCAAAAAAGGCTACCATTGGTGCATATCTGTAAGACCCCTTTGAGAAATCTGCAAAACAAACAAGCAATAAAATAGTAGGATCAGAATGTGGGTCGGGGGAAGCTGGGTAGAGCTTTTGAACAGTAATAATAATGTAATATACTTTATTCTCATTGTACCTCGTACAATGAAATTAAACACCATCTTCAGTGTACATTATACATTTTTAAAAAAATTTCAAAAATAAATCAAAACCACACCTGCTTCACATCCTATACAATTGAACTGAAAACCTCTGATGCGGCATTAATATTGCACTATACAGTACAATTCAGTATAATTACTGCTCTGGGATAGAAGTTGTTTTCCAGCCTGTTTGTCCTTGTTTTTATTGTCCTGTACCGTCTGCCAGATGGTAATAGTTCAAAAAAAAAAAAGGTGCCCAGGATGAGATGGATCATTAAGATTGTTTTGAAAATTCTTAAGGCAGCGGGAGCTATCAAGCTCTTCCAAGGAAGGGAGAGGGCAACCAATGATCCTCTGGGCAATGATGTTAATAGACAGGATGACACACTTGAACCCATAACCCAGAGCCGAGGTGGCGCAGTGGTTAGAGTGCAGTACTGCAGCTACTTCAGCTGACTGCTAGTTCAGCAGATCAGCAGATCAAATCTCACCGGCTCAAGGTTGACTCAGCCTTCCATCCTTCCGAGGTGGGAAAAATGAGGACCCAGATTGTTGGGGGCAATATGCTAATGCTAATGCGATATGCTAATATGCAATATGCCATATGCTAACTTTGTAAACCACTCAGAGAGGGCTGTAAAGCACTATGAAGCGGTATAGAAGTCTAAATAAATAAATAAATAATGGCAAAGTCCAAAATCAGAGGAGAGCTCAAAGCTGCAATGAGGGTGCACCCAGAACATTTGTTAAAGTTTTAGAACTTCCGGAAGATCACTCTTAAATGGTATACCATTTTTACAATAATAGCAATAGCACTTACACTTATATACCGCCCCATAGTGAGATAGATAGATAGATAGATAGATAGATAGATAGATAGATAGATAGATAGATAGATAGATAGATAGATAGATATATATTCACCCCCTTTTAGGGGGGGAAAAAGGTGCATCTCATACTCCGAAAAATATGGTATATTCCAAAATCCTTTACCAAATGTATGAAGAAGCACTGTATGGATAATTTTTCAATAGGGGAAGGAAAAGGGAAAGCACAAGAAATCAAGTTGTTTGAAGTACAGTAATAGGCAGGGTATTTGTGCACACACACACAAATCTTTTGCCCTATAATTAAATAAGGGCAAGAATACTACAGTCTTTTCATGACAACTTCTCTGAAATTGACAGCTTTTTTTTTTTTTGGAAGAGTTTCAAAAACATTTCCCCCCCTCAAATGAAACGAAGGCAATAAGAGGAAAATGCAGGAGAATATCTCTGCCCAGTAATATTCTCTACCACCCTTCCTTTCTTCCTCCATATTGTCATTTTGCTGCAATTTCCTACACCTCCCCAGGAAGTAGTAGCCAATGGAGAGAAACAAGGAGGAGGAGAAATCAGCATAATGCTGTCATGTCACAGAATAAGTTTAATGAGAGAGCAGTGCAAGGGAATCTGTGCTCCGAGATGCTATTTTCAGCATTCACCCTCTAAGCCTGCCATAACATCCCAGTCTGCCTTTTGTTATCTTCTCATGCGGAATTGCTGATTTAAGTGGGATCAGCTTCATATAGCAGACACAGGTAGACTTATAAACTTTCCCCCAGACCTTCTGTCAAATTCCCGAGAAATAAAGAAGAAAAGAAGGGGGGGTGGAATGAATTTTTAAATTGTACAGAAAGCAATTCTCTTCACAATCGCAATCACTGTCAAAATGCACCAGAAAAAGTGTGCGTGAGTCTGTTGTGTTTGCAGTCCTGTGCTACTTTATTAAGGGGGTGATTTTTTTTTTTAATCACAATTTCTTTTCCTCCGACGTTTAATTGCCCACTTTTCAAAAGTAACAAGTTTGCATTTGTTGTCCGGCCAAAAAAATTACTAGGTATATTTAAGATAATGGAGGAGGAGGAAGAGAAGGAGGAGACTGTAGGCTAAATAACCGGACTTTCAAATCTTGGGAAGCCCAACTAAATGGGAAGTTAAATATTGAAGGCATCTATAATATTCATATAGTGTTTTTAATGAAATCTAAATGCAAACCACAAACCCAAAAGAGCCTATTGTTGTTTTTCCATTATTAACCCCTCTTCACCCCAGCAAAGTCACCTAGTGAATTTTCATGGCTGAAGGTTGACTTCGTCTTCGGTCTCTTCAGTCCTAGTCTAGAAACTTAATCTGTGATTCATGCCCCACTCTTGGGGAGTTGTAAACATTTCTGACCACCAACTATGATGTTTGGGAGGTCAGGAAATGAAGGGCTTTGCAAGACTCTGACTCCCAGGTAAGCAAGGGCCTGAACTTCAGGTGACATATGGCCAATGGGAAGGAACGCAGGGGTGAAATCCAGCAGGTTCTGACAGGTTCTGGAGAACCGGTAGCAGAAATTTTGAGTAGTTCAGAGAACCGGCAAATGCCACCTCTGGCTGGCCCCAGAGTGGGGTGAGAATGGAGATTTTGCAATATCCTTCCCCCAGGAGTGGGGAGCGAATGGGGATTTGCAGTATCCTTCCCCCTGGAGTGGGGAGGGAATGGGGATTTTGCAGTATCCTTCCCTGGAGTAGGGTGGGAATGGGGATTTTGCAGTATCCTTCCCCTGGAGTGGGGTGGGAATGGGGATTTTGCAGTATCCTTCCCCTGGAGTGATGTGGGAATGGAGATTTTGCAATAACCTTCCCCCAGGAGAGTGGGGAGCGAATGGGGATTTTGCAGTATCCTTCCCCCTGGGAGTGGGGAGGGAATGGGGATTTTGCAGTATCCTTCCCCTGGAGTGGTGTGGGAATGGGGATTTTGCAATATCCTTCCCCCAGGAGTGGGGAGCGAATGGGGATTTTGCAGTATCCTTCCCCCTGGAGTGGGGAGGGAATGGGGATTTTGCAGTATCCTTCCTCCAGGAGTGGGGAGGGAATGGGGATTTTGCAGTATCGTTCCCCTGCCACGCCCACCAAGCCACACTCACAGAACCGGTAGAAAAAAAAAATTGGATTTCACCACTGAAGGAAAGGTATAGCATAGCCCAGCCTGTTTCCCATTCACGCTGGAAATATTATTCTAGATGGGAAATGAAGGGGGGGGGCAACCCAAAGCAAATTACCAGCAGAAGGTCTTGGGATATTTTTGTGAATGCAAAATTAGTTTGTCTTGTTCTGGGTGGCTAGACTTTTTGCTGATGAAGGAAAGGAGGGAGGGAGGGATCCTCTGTCTGATAAAGATGAGAGGTCCAGGAACCAGCCATGGCAGAAGCACCTCCCAAGAGCCAGGAATAAAACGCAGTGCCAAGCTTTGGAACTGGCCATCCGAAAACACAATTAGTTTAGAGGAAATCCTGAGAGTTTGGAAACCCTGCCTTAACTATTATCCCACATTGTCCCAATAGAGCCAGACCAATTTGAAATACAACCCATGTGTGGGCAACCTGAGCTGTGCATCCAATGTCCTAATCGTGCAATTTCATAGCTTTAGAAAAGTGCTGTCCTCTTTCTCATTTACCTATTTATGACTCGACGACTTGGCTTAAATGCCATCTTGTTCAATCTATCGTAGACCTGTTAAGTTATGTATTAGATGTCATACGTTTGGATATGAGGTTGGTGCAAACAGAGGATTGTAGGCTCTCACGGAACAATCAATGTCTTCACCATTAAGTGGAGCTTCTTGTTCGCCTCCTTTCAATCTCTGGCCTACAACTGGAGAAGCTGGGAACATCACTGGAGGCTTTTAAAAAGAGACTGGACAGCCATTTGTCTGAAATGCTTTAGGGCAGTGATAGCGAACCTTTTCGGCACTGTGTGCTGAAAAGGTCGCACAGAAACGGTCGCACAGAAACATTGTACGTGCGCGCTCCTCGGGGCCACGCTCCGGAAAAGCTAACTTCCGGGTTCTAGTGCACATGCGCATCCAACGATCAGCTGGCTGGCGCACATGCTCTGCCCAGTTTTCAGCACTGCCACGCATGCGAAGGGATCGCGCTCCAGAAAAGCCGAACGTCCGGGTTTTGGCACGCATGCGCACCCGACAATCAGCTGGCTGGCACGCATGCGCACACCGGGTTTTGGCACTGCTGCGTGCACAAAGGGCAGCTGATCATCGTGCGTGCATACACACCAGAAACCCGGAAGACAAACAGGCAAGGCTGCACGTTCCGGGCAACATAGCTTTGCATGCCACTTTGGGCACGCATGCCATAGGTTCACCATCATGGCTTTAGGGTCTTCTGCTTGAGCTGGGGGTTGGACTAGAAGACCTCCAAGGTCCCCTCCAACTCGGTCATCCTGTTCTTCTGAAACAGGTGTGGTGTATTTTGCATCTGCTCACCTATGGCTGCAGCATTTTCCTGCATCATCTTGGCGCTGCAGTTGGCTCCTCCGAAAGGATAGCGACAAGCACAGACAAAGCCCCTCTTTTCATTGATGCAGGTCCCTCCATTTTGACACGGGGAGCTACTACAGCTCAGATAATCCCCTGGATTGGAAATGAGAAAGCATGAATAGTCAGAGTTAGTCCCCGTAGCAGAAAGTAGCACCCAAAATTAAATGTTAATAAATCTGTAGTTCCTGGTTTCTGTCGTCTCTCCGCCAACTTGAGAGGGATGAATATGACTCCATCATTTCATTTGCAATCTACGTCAGTTTTCTATACGTTGAGTCCAAAGTTTTGCAGAGTTTATGTCTTGTTTTGCCAGGATAAACCACTATCTGTAGTTTTACCCAACATACATACATGCATATATTTTTTTCGTTTTTATTTATTTATTAAACATATGCCATTTCTCTCACCTAGAAATGGAAGTTTACAATCAACAAAAGCAACAAGATGAAATACTAAATTATTTAAAACTTTTAAAAAGAGGAGAAGCAGGTGGGGCTGTTCTGACCAAGGTTTCACAAAAGCACGAAGCAGACTCCTTGTCCCGACAAAACCCCTTTTTATTAAGCTAATGTGAATTCCTCTCATTCACATCCAGCAAAGTCCTGGCAAACAGTCTTTCAAGGGTGAATTTACAACCACAGAGCTTATCAGGCTTGGAGAGCTGCCAGGCCTATATCTTCCAAATGCAATGCTGTACAAGAAAATGCTTGGCAAGGAGTCTCTGAGAGTCACGAACAGATCTTCACACTAATGAAATGAACTAATTGTCTCCTGCAAACTCCACTTCCCTTTCGGTCCTCTTTATTCCCTATGGGAGGGGCCATTCACCGTCCACCTGTGCCTTTACTCCTGAGTCGGCCCTTGTTCCTTAACTGTTCCCTTCTCCTGGCAGCTCTGTGCATCTGCATATCGGGAACAGGCTCCAGCTGTTCTTCAGCCCTACTTATCTTTGACTCCGAAGGTAGCTAATAACTGTCGGACGGCCCTGGCCCCATCTCTGCCTCTGATGCAGAGCCCTCATCAGAGCCTTCCCCAGACTCCAGGACTGGCCCATGTTCCTCCCCAACCTCCTCACTATCAGAGTCTGCCACCAGCTCCGCTGGCCACTGGTGGGTCACAACAGAGGCCTTGTCTTAGTCCAGGCGTGTCAAACTGGTGGCCCAAGGGGCGGATGTGTCATGCACAGGCCACACCCACACCAGTTCTGCGAAGGGAAAAAACATCATGAAACGTGATGTGATGGCAACGTGATGCTGTGAGTTTGACACAGTCTATTCATCCTTTTCCCTAGTACTTGAGGTTAGAGCATAGACATCCATTTCAAAATTTACAAAACCACTATAAAAGTTAACAATTCCCGGCCATATATCCATAGTCACTTGACAGGAAGAAAACTCTGGATTGAGACAAACCTCTTCACCCTCAAACACGATACAGGAAAAGAAAACAATCTTCCAACTGTCATATCCTTAGAAAAGCTAAAATGACCCTTACATTTTAAAGCTAAAATACTGGATTGTTAGGACTGATGGGGAAAAAAATCTAATCTATAAAATATTTGTCCGGTAAGTGCAAATTAGGCCAGTTCATTTAAACTAGAGAAATGAACAGAATTCTTCCTTACCATTCCTAGTTAAGAATGATAACAGAAGAAAGGCAGCCACCATTATTTATTTGCATATAAATTATGCTGTTTTCAGGAGCAGTGTATTTGTTCTCTCTAATGTTATTTGCCATCGGGGAATTTCATCAGACATTTTTACTGGCATAGATGACATTGGGATTCAACTGACTAATCAGTCATCATTTTTGCCAATCTAAAGTGAATGGGATGCACTCAACCCAACTCGGCACGCCTGGATATCCCGTCAAGTAACATTTCATTCATCAATACAAGACCTTTTAATGCTTTATCATCCAGGTCTCATATTTTATAGTTGAGAACCTGAGCTGTGATTTCCCGAGGATTTTGGACTGGAACCAAATTGGATCTTCTGAAGATTAACTGATAGCATTAGCATAATGGAAGCCTGTGCTTTTATCATCAAAATAGAAATTATTAATTTTTTATTTGATTTATATGCCGCCCTTCTCCGGAGACTCAGGGCGGCTTACAATGCGTTAAGCAATAGCCTTCATACTTCTGTATATTTTATACAAAGTCAACTTATTGCCCCCACAAACTGGGTCCTCATTTCACCTACCTTAGAAAGGATGGAAGGCTGAGTCAACCTTGAGCCTTGGAGAGATTCGAACCAGCAGAAATTGCAGGCAGCTGTGTTAATAACAGGGTGCGTAGACCACTGTACTATCAAGGCTCTTAAATTTTTGGTGAACATTACAGTGTTTCTCAGCCTTGATCATTTGAAGATGTGTGGACTGGCTGAGGAATTCTGGGAGTAGAAGATCACATATCTTTAAGCAGCCAAGTTTGAGAAACGTTTGCTCTTGGCCAAGATTTTGTCTTATTGGGAATTAATTTCATATTTAAATCTTCTTCTTAAAATGTTAGTAGACCATCCTATAGCAGAAGGCATTCAATATATGAACATTGTCATATTGGGGAATATTAATCATTATATTTATGAACCATTGGACCAGAAAAAAGGCTGAGCACCAAAGAATTGAGGCCTTTAAACTCTGGTGCTGGAGAAGACTCACGTGAGTCCCTTGGACTGCAAGGCGAACAAACCCATCAGTCCTAGGGGAGATCAACCCTGACTGCTCTTTAGAAGGCCAGATCCTGAAGATGAAACTCAAATACTTTGGCCACCTAATGAGAAGGAAGGACTCACTGGAGAAGAGTCTAATGCTGGGAACGATTGAAGGCAAAAGAAGAAGGGGACAACAGAAGACAAGGTGGCTCAATGGAATCACTGAAGCAGTAGGCATGAGTTTAAATGGACTCCAGAGGATGGTAGAGGACAGGAAGGCCTGGAGGAACATTGTCCATGGGGTCACGATGGGTCAGACATGACTTCACAACTAACAACAACAAAATTTATGAACCATCTTCTTCCAAAAATATTCAGGGCAATAGCAATAGCACTTAGATTTATATACTGCTTCACAGTGCTTTAAAGCCCTCTCTAAGTGGTTTACAGAGTCAGCATATTGCCGTCAGCAATCTGGGTCCTCATTTTACTGATCTTGGAAGGATGGAAGGCTGACTCAACCTTGAACCGATCAGAATCAAACTCCTGGCAGTGAACAGTGAATTAGCCTGCAATACTGCATTCTAACCACTGTGCCACCACAGTATACAGTACATGGCTTCCCATCTCATCTCATTTCCCCACAACCTGCTGAGAAAGCAAGTAAATTAAGTTATTATTGAGCAGAAGATTTGATAATGGATTGGAATCCAGGCCTCTGTAACTCTAGCCTGACACTGTAATCCAATATCTCTCAATCTTGGCAAATTTCAAAATAGATGGATTTCAGTTCTCAGAATTCTGCCAGCATACTGGTTGGAGGATTCTGGGAGGTAGTCCCACACATTCAAAGCTGCCAAAGTTGAGAAACATTGCTGTAATAACTACCCCAGTACCTAATGCCTCCTTGGCTTTTAAAGCAGGACAAGTTATTGCAAAGACATTCAATACAATATAGCTATATTGGCAGACCAATATAGCCTTTAGCAATATAACAAGCAGTATCTGGTAAGAGGCTTACACAAGTTGATTACATAAACATGTCTCTCTTTTCATATTTGAAATACCAGGTAGGCAGGTATACATTAACAATGTTAATACCAGTGAAATAGAACAAGCACCTGAAGGCATTTTGAATATTCTATGAGATGCCACAAAGCTTTTCAGATATAGGAATATTCCAAAGAATAAATTCAGCCTGTAAGTACAACAAAATCAGGGGATGTAGCTGTTCTCAGACCCATTATAGATTGCAGGTAGAGGATGACAGTGAAATTAAAATACCTTTCATACTGAAAGCTATCTCTAAAAAAAGAAGGGTTCACCCTGTTGTTTTACAACCTATAATATCTTGATGCTTTTCATTGAAAAGGTAACAGTAAAGGTTCCCCTTGCAAATATGTGCTAATCGTTCCTGACTCTAGGGGGTGGTGCTCATCTCCATTTCAAAGCCGAAGAGCCAGTGCTGTCCGAAGACATCTCTGTGGTCATGTGGCCAGCATGACTAAATGCCAAAGGCACATGGAACGCTGTTACCTTCCCACCAAAGGTGGTCCCTATTTTTCTACTTGCATTTTTTACGTGCTTTTGAACTGCTAGGTTGGCAGAAGCTGGGACAAGTAACAGGAACTCACCTCGTTATGCGGCACTAGAGATTCAAACTGCTGAACTGCTGACTTTTTGATCAACAAGCTCAGGGTCTTAGCCACTGAGCCACCGCATCCCTAATGTCTTTTCATTAGACAGCACTATAATATATTATCAGTAGTTAGTAGCCATTCCACCTGGTCAACACAATGAGAAAGATTTCTGGGCTTGGTCCAATCTCTCAGCTTGGCTGAGACCAACAACTGTTTGACTCTCCTTTTTAAGAACTGCCTTTTTTGCATCGATTTCCCATCTATATCACTAGGAATTTTGGCAATCTGAATTTATTTGTTTTCCTCTCTCTGCATTGTCTTTCTACTTTCTCCTCATAGGTTCATAACTTGGATCGTTTTTTAAACCTTCCTACAACTCCTAAAATGTAGGCATTTTATAAACAAATCTTAATTATTCTTCCATGCAGTTTGCATTGATACATCTGGGTGTAGGATACGTTCTTGATTCTATTACCTATACAGTATAAATTGAATACTCAAATACAACCAGATGCCTCTTGAACTAGACTCCAGAAATCATTGTTCTCTAGCACTGTGATACATAATTGAATTGAACTGAATTATGAGAGACTATACAACATATTTATCACTTAGGATTTTTAAATAGTAATAACATGCATGTTCTTCCATCAATATTTCCAGGCAGGTCAGACTCCAGGTATTGAATGAATAGTCCAGGTATGCTCAAGAGGTAGGTAGATGAGTTTAGGAGATGAAAAGGGTTTTCAGAATGAGTGCTGATTGCTGGCAGATGTATGAATTGCCTCTTTTCATGGGT